AGCAAGTAGCTATGTTCCTCCATGGTATTGGTTATAACCAGAGGTTCACTGTTGTACACAACACCTTCAGGAAATCAATGGAGACAATCTCCACATACGTCAAGCAAGTGTATCCATACTTCAAGGTGAGCACTCACAGTATGTAGTTCATGGCTTGATATGCTGTTATTGTTCTGTTGTAGCCATATCACCATCGTGTGATGCCATTCTAGGAATGCATTTGGGCAATAGATGGTACTCATGTCACTACCAGAGTGTTGAGGTCACAAGCTGCATCATATAGTAGGAGGAAGCACTACACATGCCAGAGTATGCTTGTTGTCGTTGACTTCGATCTAAAGTTCACATATGTATTGGCTGACTGGTAAGGATCAACACATGATGCTAACATTCTCAGTGTCAGCATGAGTTGTCATGATGGCATCAACATCCACGATGGCAAGTTCTACCTAGGAGATGCTGGCTATGAATATCGGCCATGTGTTCTTCCACCCTTCAAGAAAACCATGTATCATCTAAACGAGTTCTCTGGTAGGAACTATCCCGGGACTCCTTAGGAACAATTCAATCTTAGACACTTCAGCCTTAGAGCATCGGTTGAGAGGGCATTTGGAATTCTGAAGAGTAGGTTTAAGGTGCTGGATCAGAAGCCATTCCACCCTTATCCTACCCAGGTCAAGCTTTTTCTTGTGTGTTGCATCATTCATAACCGGATCTTGCAATGGGGAACTGATAAACTTGTGCCGGAGGAAAAAGATGTGACTCATGATGAGGTGATCAACTCCGGCCATGGTGTGGAGGCATTTAACAACGAAGCATGGAAGAACAAAAAGATGGAGTGGGCTCAGACAATGTGGGGTAACAGAGGTCAGATAATGATCTGAAGAAGTGGAAGAAGATGATGAAGCAACACAACAGCGGTATAAGAAGAGGAAGAGGATGAACTTTCACCTAGTTAGTATCGTTGACCTTTTTCCTATTCAATCATATTGGCTCTTAATAACTTGTACTGTCCTTTGCTAGTAGGTAGGATAAACTGCCATTTGTTTTCTTGTTAGAAGAAGACAATGTTCACTGTGTGAAAAGATCACCACTAGTGAGAAGTGATGATCACATCAATAGTCGTTTGCAACCAAACAATGTGTTTTTGTCTGACAACAGTGACACAGGCAACCAAACAGCGTGCTAACTAATTGCTCTACTCACGCACGAAGCCTAATACAGACAACCAAACTATATGTAGATGTTGATTTTTAGTCTGCATTAGATCTAATAGACCCAATCAGCACAAAGTATGCAAAATGCCCTAAAACTCACCCCTTGTTTTGGAAACGTCCAACCCCAAGGGAGAAAGGCCACGGGCGCAATCATGCGGCCGTCAATGCGTACGAGCGGAGCCCCTCCCTTGTCCAAAGCATCGGGCTCATATGGAACGCCCGGTCGACGAGTCCAATCGAACGAGACAATTCGGGCCTTCTGTTCGCCCATGCACGCGCGCACAGCACCATGGCCATCTCGTAGTACGTAGTACTTCCAGAGCGTGCGTGCGTGCGGCACTGTGGCATCTCTCACTTCCCTGACACCAACGGCGCAGGCTACTACAGGACATGTATATGCACATCGGAATCTCACTGACAAAATACAGAAGTACTACTAGTACTACATGCGTGCATGTCACCGACCACCAAGTCAATCGACCTCTAGTCTACTAGTACTCGTATATGGTAGTATAATACACATGGATCTCATAGTTCAGCTCTTTCTTACAGAAACACGATCACTCATTGGACACTGCTACTACTAAAATATGTATATATGCATGTTACATCTACCAAGCGAGGAATATGTTTATACGGTTGTTGGACACAAACTAGAGCAGTCGGATACTCAGAAGTTCCAGTCCGGTTGACTGCTTGAGGCACTGATCATGTCCTCCGACGCCTGCCAGAGCCGCGCGGCCTCGCCGCGGCTTGCCGCGGCCGGCGACGGCAGCGCCTCGTTGCAGTCGGCGAGGTAGCGGCCGGACACACCGGCCAGCCTCGGGTGCACCGCCGCGTAGCACGTGGTCGCCGCAGCCTGCACGCGAGAAGAGAGGGCGTCAGCAAGGAGAAGCGAGCGGCGCATGAACTCTGAAATAGCAGGCAAAGCCTTGCCCTCCGGCGCGGCGCCGGCAGGCGGGGCTGGGCGCAGAACAGAGATGTATGCATGGCTCGGGGCCTGCCCGACACATGGAGCTAGCAAGGGCCGGGTTTAATTAGAGGGGATGTGTGGTGGGCGGCACCGTAGATTAATCACCTGTGGGATGGTCTTGAGCAGCTTGGACAGCAGCACGAAGACGAGATCTGTGATGAGGCCCTCTCGGTCGCGGTTGAGGCGCGTCCTCACGATGCCCGGGTGCACGCAGTTCACCGTCACGTCCGCGCCCATCTCCTGAAAAACCACAAGGCCCAAACGGAAGACAAAATTAACCTCTGAAGGACAGTTAGTCGAGTTGAAATGGCAAAAGGAGAGGAAAGCAACGGACCTGGAGGCGGGCGGCGAGCTCCTTGGTGTGCAGCACATTGGCGAGCTTCGACATCGCGTAGGCCTGCGTTGCGTCGTAGGGTCTGGACGCACGTACGTGCACATGCACATGCCAATGTTAATTACTAGCGGCGGCGGCTAAACAATGGCCAAACAATCAGCGTTAGGTGAAGGACTGATGAAAGATGCGATGCTTACATCTTGCGGCGGGTGACGAGCTGGAGGTAGTCGGCCCAGTCGCCGGAGAACCAGCCGTGCACGCTGGACGACACGTTCACGATGCGGCCCTGCACCCCCGTGGCCGCCGCAGTCTCCGCCATCTTTCCCAGCAAGAGCTTCGTCAGCAGGAAATGGCCGAGGTAGTTGGTGGCGAAGGTCATCTCGACGCCGTCCTCGGACAGCGCGAGCTGGCCGTGCGAGAACTTGCCGGCGTTGTTGATGAGGAGGTGGACGGGCAGGCCGAGGGAGAGGAAGCGGCGGGCGAAGGCGCGGACGGAGGCGAGCGAGCTGAGGTCGAGGTGCAGCACGAGGACGTCGGCGCCCGGGCACTCGCCAAGGATGCGCGCGCGCATGTCCTCGGCGGCCTTGACGCTCCGCGCCGGGATGACGACCCTCGCCCCGCGCTTGGCCAGAACCCGCGCCGTCTCCGCCCCGATCCCCGACGTGGCGCCGGTGATGATGGCGGTGAGCGAGGCGAGGTCCGGGCAGGCGGCCGTGACCTCCTCGGCGGTGGACTTGGAGCCGAACCCGCTGGCGCCCGGGGAGCCCAGCAGGTACCTGGCCGCCTGCAGCATCGTCGGCCTCCGCACCGCAGGTCTATCGTCTTGATGGACGCTCGGCACGCCCGCGGGGCTAGCTCGCTAGCTTGCCAGAGAGGAGAGCTAGGCGATGGGGAGGAGCTGAGGAAGTTATGGCGCCCGCCCGCATTTATACAAAGCTCGGGGACCTCGCCCGCGCCGGGACAGGACCGGGGCGATCGAAAAAATAATCTACCACTACGGGAAGTACACTGCGGAAAGGCAAGGGGACGACGGGGCGCATTGACCGTGCGAATCAAGGAGCGACCCACCTCGGTCGGGAGGACGGAAAAACTAGCCAACGTCCGTGCGCGCGTGGCCGGCGACTGCCATCGCGGCCGATCGGCGCCGCCCAGCTAGCCGCGACAGCAGGCATCGTTGGCCTCGCTGCCGTTCGTGGCATTATTGCTGTCGAATTTCAATTGAGTTGACGGCAGAGGTCGGTAGCAGACCTGCATCCTGCCGGTGCCGGGACAAACCAACCAAGCCAGGATGTCCAGTCGTAATGGCGGAGAGTGGATAAGGGCGCAGGCACATCGACCGGTCGTGCATTGCATAGCACCACCTCACTTGTCGTTGGGTCTGTGTGGTCGGTGGGTCTCGGCTTATAGCTGACTATTTGTTCTTGAATCTTAACTTCTCAAATTTGTTCTTGAATTTAACTTCTCAAAAAATTGGTCGGTGGGTCTCGGCTTATGCATATTATGTATGGCGTTGGACACGGCTATTCTGATCCCGAGATAACAAACAGTAAAATTAAAAAAAATGTGAAATTTTGTGTGAAACATTAACAAATGTTTTGATGGCTTGCAAAATTTCATCACCAGATCCAGATGGCATCCGTGGAAAATGTGGCCAAAAAACAGAATGGATGCTGCAAAATATTAATTTCAAACTCATTTTGGAGCATCGATTTGTTTTGCCACGTCTTCATTGATGTTATCTGGTGATGAAATTTTGCAATCTATCAAAACATTTGTCAATGTTTCACACACACAAAAAAACTTTTTTGTAATTTTACTATTCACCCGAGCACATGAACACGGGATTGGAATAGCACTTTCGCTTGGCTCTCTCACTTTGAGGGAAAGAGAAATCTTTCAACAGTTAATTCCTCAATTTTTGAGGAGTTATAGGTTTGAGGCTTCGTTAGGTTTTAACTCCACAAAATATGCCAATCTGAGAGTTTGGCCAGAGATGCTCTTAATTCTAAAAGAAGAAGAAAAAACACATGACGATCTTAATTCTGCAAAAGACACGGTTGGTTCCACGGTCACGAAAACCAGAATGTACCATAATGTTTACATGCATTGTTTTTTCTATTGTTGCCTCTTTGGTTAAAAAATAACTACAAAACCATATTTTGCTGGAATTTTGTATAGAAATTTTGAAGAATTCTACTTGTTATTATCTCTTTACATAGATCTTATTATTTGGTTTGTCGATCTAAAAAACAAATTTCTCTTTCTGTGTGAGGTGATGTTCTCATCGATAGCAAGACATCCATCACGATTTCATTAATATCGAAGTTTCACGACTTTTGTTTTCAGTAGTGTAGTACTGTACTTTGATTGTTTAAAATACCATGCTTTGTAGTAAGTCTTTATGGATTTTATTTTATTTTGCTTTTCTTGTTTGGCGCAACTATAAGATTCTAGTTTTTTTTTCAATTTCCTGTGAGATGCAGTGAGGCATGAGACCTCCAAATCCTCATGTCCTATTATGTGCTTTAAGAAATATATTTGGTGTAGGTAGCTTCACACACTTGTGTCTCTCCAACACCTTGGTGTTGTCTACACCAACAAAAACGGGTTCCCAATACAAGTTTAAGATACCAACCTAGCATTTTCCAAATAAGAGTGATGAACTATAAATGCATTTTTCACATGTCCTATTAGAACCAAGAGATATTGAGTTTAAGACCGAATGGCACACTTAAAAGTATAAATTATACTCCCACCGTCTTAAAATAAGTGTCTCAACTTTGTACTGACTTTAGTGCAACTAGTAAAAGGGCCCGTGCGTTGCAACGGGAGAAAAGAATACCACGCGCTTTTAATTGACAAAAATGGTCTATAATCTGAGTACTCCCTCCTTCCATCTATATAGGGCCTAATGCGTTTTTCAAGACCGCCTTTGACTATTGATAATATTAATAGTACATGACATGCATAATGTAAAAATTATATCACTGAAAGTTCCTTTCACATACGAATTTGATGGTGTGCTTTGTGTAAGTTGCATGTCATATATTATTAATCTAACATTTGGTCAAAGTTAGCCTCGAAAAACGCATTAGGCCTTATATAGATGGAAGGAGGGAGTATTTGTAGTTACGGCCCAAACAAAGATGATCTTTGCCTACAAAAACGCAAGTTCAAAATTTTACATGTCTTCTATTTAAACACGGCTTGCATGTAGATTTAATACGTAAACATCAAATTCTTTTTTTTGCGGGTAAAGAAACATCAATTTCGTCGCGATGTACGAGGAGTTTTAACTGCAGAAAAGGATGGGCTAGAAGATCTAGAGTGGACAGGTAAACAGTGAGTAGGTGCGCAGGTACTACAGAGCATGCATGTTTGATCGTCGGATCCTCTTGTTTCTCTGTTTGAGCATGCAAGTTGGGAGCTTCGACTTCGATCAGATCAGATCAGATCAGATCTCAAGCATACGCAGAGGCAGGCCGTGCTGGCTCTATGTCTAATTCTCTAGTTTAGCCAGGAGTCTCGAAGAGCATCTGCTGCACTTTGCGACCGACGTGATGGATCGAGACCGGACGGCCACCTTTGTCCATGACACGCGCGCATAGTTCTGGGGACACAATGTACTCTCCCACTACGCACGACTGGTGCGAGTGCTTGGCTCGGCCATTGATGGAGACCGTGCATGTCAAGTACGCCTACGTACGTTATGCAGTACTCCTAGGCTGCCTGTGTGCCCCCGTGCGTGCCGGCGTCTCGTCTCATCCAGCACACGAGCGCCACAGGCGCATGCATGGGCACGCGCTCCTCCCGAAATCTGGGCACCTGATCGAACGTAGCCGAGCAGGGGATGGCACGAGCCGAGGAGCAGAGCGGCCGCACTCCCTACACCAGCCACCATGAATCGCGAGCAGGGGGTGCGACCTGCTGCGACGCCTGTCTCGGTCGATCCCAACAGCGCGGCAGCATGCAGCGAGCCGCAGGCAGATTTACGTGCGTTCCGCCAAGGAGATCCATCCACACTAGAGCAGCGTGCGTATCCATCCGAGTACGGGAGTACAGGGCGGTTGACCTTGGTGCATACGAATCGCGGAGAGCTATGCCTGGCTAGGGCTAAGCTACTTTAACGCCAACTCCACCGCGCGACCCTATCCTGTCCGCCCCCGTTCGTTTGGAATAAAACAGACAAACAAGACGGCCCAGTGCGCGGGCGCAAATGGACAAATGTCCGGATTCCGTCCGCTTTCGACCCATCCTCGGCCCAAACTTGCGCTCGGTTTAGGGTGAAACGGACGCGCGCGGACGGCCTCGACGCACGCCCTTGTCCCCCCCGTGGCCGGCCTGTCGGGGACATTAGTAGTCCCTCCGCTCCCAACACTTCACCCTCTCTCTCCACCCCGCCCCGCCGCCGGCGCCGCCGCTATTCTCC